TGGTCCTAGTTTGTATCAAGAACTAAATGATGCATTACGTGCAGAAAAGCGAGAAAATCTTAAGCCATGGTTTAGTTACCTGAAATTATTTCTAACTGCGCTTTACAAACTGCCGTCAAAGACAGAGACCATTTTTCGTGGAGTAAAACACGTTGATTTAAGCGACAAATATCCGACAGGATTCAAATTCGCATGGTGGGGTGTCAGTTCATGTACGACAACAGTCGACGTATTGAAGTCAGAGAAGTTTTTCGGAAAGAGTGACAAAAGAACTCTACTTTCTATTTCGTGCATTAATGCGAAATCGATCACAGCTCACTCGTACTACAGTGACACCGAAAAAGATAGTTCATTCACCTAAGATGTCTGCAAAGCGAAACTCATGTTCACCGCCAAAGTTTTGTTTATTTCTCTCTATCTGTGGATCCATCTGTTCATCTCATCGGCTAGGAGGACATGTTTCTTCTTTTCACAGCTGAAATAGAACTCTTTTCTAATCTGTAAAACTTACTTACCATTCAACTTCTTGGAAACAGTAAAGTAGACGTTTTTGATGTATAGACTCCAAGTTATTCTGATGCCTGGTTCATATTTCGAGGTTGTTGGTCACCTGGATGCGGCCAACGATTTACACATTATTCAGTTGAAAGAGATCGAACCACCGTACATGCTACTAAAACCACCATCTACGACCGCTGCAGGTACTGGCTCCACTCAGCATTATCAGTCTAAACCGGTAGCAGACACAAAGGTTTCTTCAAAGACCTCTGGTAAGTGAAAATCTCAGTACTTTATAGACAGATGCTACATTTGCTCCTCTTCATCAGGTTCTCCAAACCCATCCGTTTCATCATTATCATCCACGAAGCTACAAGCAGCTGTACCCCAAACGGAAAAATCAAATTTATCACAAACTTATCAGCAAAACCTATCGCAGAAAGAAAGCGAAATTGTAGCAGAATTAAGATCTAATGACACAACAACTCTTTATGCAGCTGGCAACAATATATCATCTGAAGGGACAAAAGCAATTGCAGAAGCCTTGAAAACAAACAAAACATTAACAACTCTTGATATTAACAGGAACAATATATCAGCTGAAGGGGCAAAAGCAATTGCAGAAGCCTTGAAAACAAACAAAACATTAACAACTCTTGATATTAACAGCAACAATATATCAGATGAAGGGGCAAAAGGAATTGCAGAAGCCTTGAAAACAAACAAAACATTAACGACTCTGCATTTGTCATACAACAATATATCAGCTGAAGGGGCAAAAGCACTTGCAGAAGCCTTGAAAACAAACAAAACATTAACAAGTCTTGATATGTACAACAATAATATATCAGATAAAGGGGCAAAAGCAATTGCAGAAGCCTTGAAAACAAACCAAACATTAATACGTCTTAATATTAACAGCAACAATATATCAGCTGAAGGGGCAAAAGCAATTGCAGAAGCCTTGAAAACAAACAAAACATTAACAAGTCTTGATATGTACAACAATAATATATCAGCTGAAGGGGCAAAAGCAATTGCAGAAGCCTTGAAAACAAACAAAACATTAACAAGTCTTGATATTAACAGCAACAATATATCAGATAAAGGGGCAAAAGCAATTGCAGAAGCCTTGAAAACAAACAAAACATTAACGAGTCTTGATATGTCCAACAACAATATATCAGATGAAGGGGCAAAAGCAATTGCAGAAGCCTTGAAAAAGAACAAAGTGTGTAACGTGGTGCAATAATGTATTGCATGGGGAGTGGGAGCCGCCGAAGAAAACTCTTTTTTACAAGAAGATGTAGACCGCCTTTGGTTTATAGAAAAAGAACACTTGTGGTCTTGGAACATTTTCCGGCTTTAGTATGAAAAAAAGTTCGGAATATAGACGAGTTGTACATCATTAGATGTAGTTTCTTATAAATGCTCCTGGGCTTACGTTACCAAAGCTGATCTGACAGGAAAAGGTGACGATATAGCATCTGAACGGGCAGAAGCAATTAATTGCTCGAGTCGTGAAGGTCCATGGTACTTGCACTGTTTACGGTGAGGGTGAGGAGGAAAAGTCAAAACTCCGCGGTTGTTTCTTTGCGATTCGCCTTATTCAATTTTGTGACCAACTTTGTGAAATCATCTAAATAAAATTTGCATGATTAATTTGTGTATGAAAATCTCTTCTGAAGAAACTGATGCTGTTCGCTACAAAAGAATCTACAGTATGTTTTGCAAAGAGCGACAAGTTCAGTAACAACATACGCTGCATCGAACTAGGAGATTTCAATACGATCAATCATGTGAGAACTGAAATCGGCAAAAGTAAAACTGCCGTTATTTTTCGACGATATGATTCATCGCTTTATGTCAACCATTATCCGCTGATAGTGGGTGTCAAACATTTCAATGAGATCCACGTCATATGTGGGTCCATCTGTCAACAGTTAATGGTGAACATATGGGCACACATATACTTGCCTTGAGTTTCATAGTGAGAGAGGCATGCCGCCACCAATCGAACATCATCACACATTTCAGAATTATTTTCAGCACACAGCTTTGTCGCCACTTTTTTTAAACACGAATCCGAATCTTGCGAAACGAAGTATAATTCGAGGAAGACTCAAACGCTGGGCCGCTCATATGTCAGATAGTCCCCTTATTGATACTTCCCGCAAAGTGTTTTGCATGGGAGGGCCAATAGACTCATCCTAATTTTATTTGAAGATTTGTCAGGAATATATTCGTAAGATGACGGTTCTTCTGCAAAGAATACTTACAACCAGTTGAAAAGGACTGATTTCATGATCATGTTGTTCAAAAAAGAATCTGTACAAGGTGAAAGCTCATAAAAACATCCATCTATTTCGGCGATCCTAGAAAAGCTCAAAAAGAGATAAAAGAAATTCGCTATTCGCTAAGATTCGCCGTGAAATTCTACATGTAACATCAGAGTTTTCCGCCGTTTTTGGGTGGATGCCGAACGCTAAAGAACCAGAGATATTCATATGTTTCATTTATTGTAATAACTCATATCACCGTAAATTTGACGTATTTTACGTCTATCTATTATGTGAATAATAGTTTGGTCACATTTTATTAATACCACATAAGTTTTCTGGCAGATTCTTTAATTTTTAGAATCCATCAAATAAGTAAATATGGAAGATGGGATAGAGTTGAAGAGGTAAACATGGCAAGAGATAAGAAGTTAGAATTCGAAAGTGGTTAGAAGTACCCAATACACTGGTACTGTATGTGTTTCATAGAATCCAAAGGATAAGAAATAAGAATTTAGACTTTCAGAATTGAAAAATTCTAAAGCCTTATTTTATATTTTAATCGTCAAACCCTCTAATCGTCGACCAGGAAAATCGTTATGTGTAGTTATGATGCTATGTGGTGTTCTATTACATATTTGTATTTGTACTAGCGGCCATTTTGTTGGGATCATTTAATAATTGAAAATTATTAGAATAGTCGATTCCACTATTCTATTAACAGCAGATGTGATAAAGCCTGAAGGGATTTCTGTTATTGTCTGGAATTTAATAGTGAACCAAACTCTCCAGTAATTCATGCAACGACCATGATACTGGTGCTTGCTAGTGTATAGAGTTGCTCAACAGCGTCATGGGAACACATCTATGCCGTTACAACAGGTTATTTTAACTGATCTCTCTATCATACCCGACATAAATGGCTTCCTAATCCGTTTTTTCTGTTTTGTTTTATATTTTTTGGTTATTTTCGTTCTCGTTTTGTGGCTTTTTATGTATTTTTGTTACCATACTGTGGCCTACTGCCGTCCTTGGAGGAGGGCTACTGCTGAGAGGCGGTAGATGAAAGACAATAAGTGTCCGCATGGATTTGTTTTAGGCTAAAACATGATCACAGTGTAAATTATGATGCTGCTATATGGGAAAGGCGAATTGCATGCTTACCTGTTTTTTGAGCAGGTGAAATTATGCCGATTCGCATGTATATGGTACTGTTGAAATTAAAATTTCACTGGTGGAAATTAAAATTTTAATCGCTACTAGTGGAAAGTAAAATGCAGATGCACATAAGCTGAAGCATGTATTCACCATAAACTAGGCTTTCAACTTTTTCAACTCAGGATTACAGAACTGGATGAAAATATCCGAGGACATTGCAAGATGTGAGAGTAAGTTACAAACCAATATCCTCAAGCAACAGAATTCTCCAAGCTTGTTGTATCTATCTTAGGTATGCACCGGTATCGGTATATCGAATACCGAAAATACCGAGTTTTTTTTACTTGGAATTTTTGGATTTTTTCATTTGAAATGACGTATTTTAGCATCCTGGACAAGCAGAACGTATAAACAACACTCAGCTGTGTATTTTGAGCATATTCGGATAGAAAGAAAAGAAAAACTTTCGCTTTAGAAAGCAAACAAATCTCTTGTTTTCCGTCTCTGATTCATTGTGGTTTAGTGAAGGATATAGTATAGTGAAGGATATGGTATAGTGAAGGATATAGGAGTTAGAAGAAGCTTTTATTTTTCTCGATTTTATAGTCAGAAGGTATTCTTTGGTTCAAAGCTGGAATTGAATAATTGTTTTTCCTACGTATATTGCGATGAAAATTCGAAATGCAGAGAGGAAAATTTTCTATAGGCCATGCGTTAACTGTGATAGTGTTAACTGTATTTGTTTCGATAAACTAAATAAAAAATGGAAATGAAGTTCGTTTTTTCATATCTAGTTTCAATGTTTTTTTTCGTATTATCATCTTCACGCGTGTCAAAGGTATGACATCTTTTATGTATATTTTTTTAGAAGAGAAGAACAAGCAAAACTTGTTATCTGAAGACATCTTCAAAATTTATTTTATATATGACGATGAGTAATTGAAAAAGAAAAAGTTTATACTATTTGTAAAGTCCTTTTATCGGTAATGTATATTCTAATTGTACATTGGTAATACTTTATATTTTGAGATATATAACTTTCTGTTAGTTTAATTACCATTAACAATGATTGGTGGAGTATTTTTATATAATGACAAAGGTGAATGTCTTATCCTTCGTTTATATCGTGATGGATTTGGTCGTTCAGCAGCGGATGCATTTCGTGTGAATGTAATTCATGCTCGACAACGTGTTCGATTTCCTGTTGTGTGTATTGCACGTATAAATTATTTTTATATTAAACGTGGAAATATTTGGTTATGTGCAACGAGTAAACATAATATCAATTCGGCTATGATATTTGAATTTTTAAATAAGTTTGTGCGTATCATAGAATCATATATGGGCGCAATGACAGAAGAAAATATAAGACTAAATCATATTGTGATCTATGAATTATTAGATGAAATATTTGATTATGGTTATTTACAAACAACGGATGCAGCACATTTAAAATCTTATATAAGTCAATCTGGTGGAGGTTTAAAGTCGAATATATTATCACCAGAACAACAAAAAACTCTAACATCAACCGTAACTGGTCAGATTGGATGGAGACGTGATGGTATTTATTATCCGAAAAATGAGCTTTTTCTCGATATTATAGAAACAGTTAATCTACTCATGTCTCAACAGGGTCAAGTATTAAGTTCAGATGTTGTTGGTAAAGTAATGATGAAATCTTCATTGTGTGGTATGCCTGAGTGTAAATTGGGGATTAATGATAGACTAATGATCAGTGGTAAACAGCGAAAAGAAGAATTATTTACTGGTATATCAGGTAATGCTACGGTGGCTATTGACGATTGTCAATTTCATCAATGTGTTAAATTATCCAAATATGAAACGGAACACTCAATTAGCTTCGTACCACCCGATGGTGAATTTGAATTAATGAAATATCGCACAACAAATGATATCCAATTACCATTTCGAGTGATTCCATTAGGTAAGAGAATAACAGAAAGAGTTTTAAGTGAACGAAGAGAATGTTTTGAAGTAGGTAAATGACAATAAAAACAGAGGCAATATCAAAATTGTTTACAAATCAAAATGATAGATTGAGGCTTTTTTCGGTGGTTACAGGATAGACAACAATACAGCTTGTAAGATGGCAAATTTATTGAGATACTTCTGAGAATTTTGTCACAAAAATTTTCGTTTGAGACCTGAAGAGGATTATTTTTATGTATGTTTTTGGACACATCGTACCTCTCATCTATGTTAGATATGCCTGTACATAAAATTTGAGAGAATATTAAATTTTGCAGCTTCGGAAGTTGGTCAATGCTTGTCTGAACTCTCCATGTTACATGCTTTGGTATTTCGAGTGTAAGTGTGGATGTATTAATAATTCGTCATTTGAGCTACTTGATATACCGTAAAAAATAAAGTGTGTTACTAAATGTGTAAATCTTCTGAACGTTCACTCGACACCCAGAAGTGTTTACCTCCTCTAGATGGTCAATCTCAGTGAGTACAGAGCTAGATGGGTTAAAAAGATATCTTATTTTCCATTTTTCTCCTGAACTACTGCATCAAGTGAAAAAATAATTCTAGAATGATGCTCACCATCTTCGAAAGTTCCTTCGAATGCTGCCATTTTCAGCAACAAACGGATAAGAAAAAAAAGTGAAAAAAAAATGTGGCCATATGGTAGATTTGAACAATCGATTGATGAATCTGAGGCACTTCCAGCACAGATAGCTTAAGCTATCTGCTGAGACCAATGATACAGTAATTGGACATGAACATCTACGACAATAACATCCCAACAAAATTATGCTTTCAAGTATCATTTGTGTTGTCACTGTAAAAAGAAATGTGTAAATGACACACACAAAGTGAATGCCAAGTCGATTCCCAGTGACCGTCTAGAGTGCATGGTGTAAGTGTGTAAAGTACACACTGAGAAGTGACCGTCTAGCTGAGCCAGAGAGTCCCGTGGTAACACAAAAATTCCATTACCTTACCGTTACCATTATCATGGTAATGATAACGGTAAAAAGAAACGTTTATTTCTTGGTAATAGATAGTAAATGGTAACAAAATTTAAATTTCAGGGTAATGGTGATGGTAACGAACACGTTTCAGATTCTAGTTCATAAATCATGCAACCCCGTTATTGAAAACGTGAGAGAAAGGTCAACAAAGGATCGTTAGTATCAGTTAATATCTTTATTTTTTGTTTTATATAATATTTCTTTATATTTGTTGGTTCAGAAGCAGACAATTTATTAAACTTTCATTTAGATAGAAGAAAGCAAATTCTTTTGCCGCACACTATTGTATTTTACGTAAGTATAGTCTACAGTACTTGTCAAAAGTACCGCCCCCCCCCCCCTGTAACTCAAGAACCATGATAGCCAGAGACTTCTAATTTTGTGTGGGCATAGCTCTTATCGAATGCTGATCACCCACCAGGTTTGGACCACTTTTACTAGATAGTTCGTGAGAATTAAGCGATTTATCTCTTTTTCGTACAATATCAATAGCTCCTGACCTAAGAGAGATGAAAACGTTTTCTTTTTACTAAAATGTAGCCACGACTCTACTCTATCTGCAGCATAATATTTT